AAATAAATAAATTGGTCCCATTGCCCCTCATATCAAATAAAGAAAAACACGGTGCAAGTTTACAGGATATGACGTTTTCTATGTGCTAGCAGATGCATTAGGTGTAAATTGAGCAGTCGACGCCAAGGTTGAGCATTTAAACTGCAGTGTGCCGATGACAATATCAAAAATAGAGATTCAAACCACCAGAGTTTCATACGGAACAAACTCAAAGAAACGTTGCTGTCGACTTGCATAGTGCAGCTTTTCATATTATAATTCTTCTTCAAAATCTAGTTTGAACACAAATGGTTGAATAATTCCAGGATTACAACTTGCCATTGTGTAAGTATGGAGAACTTTTACAGGATACGTGTTGCTTTATGGCACAAAAATATATAGCGTTTTTGTCTTCCAGTGAAGATAACAGAGCTCAGACAGAGACGAAAGCTGTGAGAAATTGGGTTAAGCAGGAAATCAAACTGTTCACATGCACTCAGCTGCTTCAGTGTGAGCAGAGTGCAGCAGAGGACAAGCTCTGTAGGTTTCCTTTATAGTGCAAATGTGTCTGAAGCTAACTAATAATTCATTTCTAACTTGCTCAGATTAAAGCGGCTACTCATTGTCAGTTCAGATCAGATTATTGTGCACATGAGAAGTCTTTGTAAATTTGAAAAATGGTTACATGGTTGAACACATGGACACTAGAATAGAACAGATTTTATCTTTTCATGGGACAAAGAAATGACACTTTGCTGCAATGTAAAGTAGTCAGTGTTCAGCTTGCATAACAGTGTAAGTTTACTGTCCCCTCAAAATAACTCAATACACAGCCATTAATGTCTAAACCGCTGGCAACAAAAGTAAGTACACCCCAAAGTCAAAATGTCCAAATTGGGCCCAGTTAGCCATTTATCCTCCCCGTTGTCATGTGACTTGTTAGAGGTACAAGGTCTCAGGTGTGAATGGGGAGCAGGTGTGTTACATTTGGTGTTATCACTCTCACACTCTCTCATACTGGTCACTGGAAATTTAACATGGCACCCCATCGCAAAGAACTCTCTGAGGATCTGAGAAAAAAAAATGGTTGCTCTCTAAGATGGCCTAGGCTATAAGAAGATTGCGAACACCCTGAAACTGAGCAGCAGTATGGTGGCCAACAGCATAGTTGAACAGGACAGGTTCCACTCAGAACAGGCGTCGACATGGTCGACCAACGAAGCGTCATATCCAGAGGTTGTCTTTGGAAAATAGATGGATGAGTGCCAGCTGCTTAGAGTGAAGACCAAAGTTTGAGTAAATCGATTAGTTGCACACAAACACAACTCCAAATAATGTTTTGTAACTGCTGAACGTATAAATCAGCAATGAACTGCATCAAGTTCCTCAAAACATCATAACCTTTAATCACCATAAGGACAACACAAGGGCAGCATCATCTTAAAGACTCCAGCAATTAAAAATATAGTTTTTTTTACCTTGTTCTTCCACTTTCTTGGAGTTATTTTTGATCTGACTAAAAACTAAATATCGATCCTCAGTGAACTTAAACAAAACACAGGAGATGTTTGAAAGATTCTCAGTGTCAGACTTTAGAACAAAGATCGATGACATTCTGATCGGACATGTTTCTCCTGCATGCTCTTTGATAATTATCCCAGGTGAAGGACTCAATACATTCTTGACTGATGACTGCAATAACCTCCGAGGCTTAATTGCTTTGGCTCAGCAAAAGCTTTTTGTGTGAAAGTAATCTTTTCATTTCAAATGTCAGCTCCAATGCAGGAAAGCATAACTCTGCAAAAGAACAATTGCGAGTGAGTCATTGCTCCTCACTGTCGACGTTGAATTGGAACGACTGGATTGTCAATACGCACGTCTGTCAGTCTATTAATTCTTGATGTTTCGTTGAATTACTTCCTCCTGATTCCGTCATTGTGAGAAACTTCTGTCGCCTCCGATGTACACTTGCTCAGCTTTTTTATGTTTAGGATGTTGTCATTTTTCTGGAAGTTTGTGATTTCTATCTTCGAACATGACATTTAGATTTTTGCGAATAAATATCTGTTTTTTGTTCGTGTAGGATGAGTCAACTCATCAAACGCACACACAAACACCTCCAACATTAAAGCCCATAACCGGAAATTGCAGCGAGGGGAAGATAATTGTTTGTTGGCGGCTTGATTGAAGCCGTCCTGTCCTTCTAAGAAAATGGACCGATCTAATTAAGGATTCCCTGAGTGAGTTCTGCTCCAGCTTCTTTCCCACATGCTGCTAGATGCCACGCTGATATAAACAAACCGAAGACACCTCGATCCATCTGCCTGCGTCTCTCCAGAGACGCTTTCATGCTTTTCTTTCATTATTCCTGAAATACATACGAAATCCAGGAAAAACAGAGTCGGAACTGGCCTGAATTTCAAGATATTTTTCACCTTGAACATCAGACTTTACACAGTGTTCACTCTTCACGTCTATGTTTACATTATTTTATGCTAATTACTGTTCATTAAGCATCTCTTGCATCACTGAGCTTTACATAAATTCCAAGAAAGTGGCTTTTGTATCTTTTCCGCGCAAACTCTTGAAGACCTTCGCATAGATTTGTTCAGATGATCAAACAGTTTGCCATAAATGCACGAAAAAAAGTGCAGAGTCCAGAAGGAGCTGCTGCTTCGAGCTGTTTCAAAGCTTTAAGACTGATTCATCCGTGTCCTTTAATGTTTCCTCTCCTTCGCCTCAGGTTTCTGAGGTAATTGATGAGGGCTTTTACTTCGCTTCATCCCAACTTTATAAAAGAATTCATCTTTTTATACTTCATATATGTTCAGTACATGACAGTAAAATAATTCCTAGAGGACATTTTTGTCACAAGCATTCGTCCTCTGGAGGGTTTCACCATCACTTATAATGTTGCCTACTGATAGCTAAAGGTAATTGATGCTCCCCTTCTCCATTTGAAATTATTTATTTTAGGACTGGAATTTATGTGTATGAGGATTAAATTTCTGAATGCAAATATGGGTTCTAAATTGAGAAATAAACTATGGAAATAAAGAGACTTTGTCCTCCTCGATTTGACCCTGCTACCTTTTCGAAAGCTTTTCAAAAACTGTCTCAGGATTGGATGGATTTCAAAATGCTGGATTTCAATTGAAAATTGAAAATATCTTGTTTTCTTTCCTTTTTTTTCCTGCTACATCTCAAGTGAGTGCACTCGGTTTGATCAGCGACCTGCTGACAGAAGACAAAATCAGATATGATAGAAGAAATTCTCTTGCCAGTAACTGCTCAGAAAACAAAATGACATAACATGAGGAAGAGAAATGCAGCGCCGTACAGAAAAGCAATACATTTAAGTACGATACATTACTGAAAATAAAATGAGTAGGTCAAAATAAGACTCGAATAGAAAACACAATCTGTAGTCACAGTGGCAACCACATCACCAAAATCTGATTTAAATTGTTGCTGAAACACAAAGGATGTGACATAAATGCTAATTTTGAAAAAGTTGGACAAAAAAACAGACATACAACAAACTGTTATGTAAAATAGTAAAATTAGTAATTTCCCTGAGGTCTTGTACTGAAGGGATTAATAAAGTTTTATTCAATTCTAAGTTTCTATTCTATTCTAAATAACCAAAGCTGTCAATTTGTTAGAAACTTGAACGCTCATGTTGGAACTAGCAACTCTTAGCAAGAGGCTGGTTTAGAGAATAGCTTCTCAGATGTCAGTACAGTCGACCATGTGGCACAGCTGTTGGCATTAACATGTTCTTTGGGTTTGTTTTGTTGTCTGGTAACAAAAAAATAAAAAAAATAGATTTATAACCTGAAAGTTGTTGTGAGGACACAGAATTTTGACATTGGTGTAGTTTCAGTCCAACACAATGACAATCAGGCAGTTCAAGAACACACACACACACACACACACACACACACACACACACACACACGCACACCCACACACCTACACACACACACACACACACTCACTGTGCTGACAGTGAATTAGTCGAATGACAGTTTTTACCCCCATAAAGTTGAAGCCAGTAATCTGTCCTTGAAAAATGACACTCTCTCTGAAGAGCTTCTTGGGAGCATAAATGGATTATACGGGGCCTCAGTGTTGGTGTCGGAACAAATTTGGGTTATGAAGACACTTTGGTGTGACAGCAGCCACTTTTTTCTGGAGGTCTGAGCTCTCAGATGGGCTTTCTGAATCCCACACTGTCCAGGGAATCCTCAGTGCGATCCCATGTTTTGCGCAGGTGGACTCTCAGGGCCGTCGGGGCCTCAGGGGACCCTCCTACTCAGAGTTTTTTAAGGTTGTTGCCATGGTAATCTCAGGAGGAAGCTAGTTGTTGATCGGTGGTCTGTCCTCATCTTTCCTGACCTCCCCTCCCACCGCTGACATTCACTCATTTCTTTATTTAGTTTGGAGTTACTGGCCCCGCTGAGCGTCACCCACCTGAAGGCAACAAACTGGAAGCAGCCGTGTCCGCTTTGTTTATATTTATCTGCATTTCTTGGCACGAGGTCGGCCTTTTCCTTGCCTTTCAGCCGCCTGTCATCGGCGCTGATGAGAGCGGAGAGGTGGCCAGAGAGCAGATTAGGGAGGAAGAGGAGCGGTCGGCTTCAATCAGCATCCAGTTCGCTCACAAACCCAATTCTTCATGGTCCATTTGCGAGTACTGTACGCGCAAAGGAAGTCAGCCGGCCGCCCAGTAATCTGCAAAGAGGCCGACTGACACAGGAGGAAAACTAATTAATCTGGCGTTATTAAAGGCTTCCGGTGTGTGCTGAATACAAAATGACCCCAGTGTTCAGCTCCCAGCGTCAGAAGTCATTCCTGATGTTTGATCTCACAATGTGTGTCATTCTTGATGTCACAGTGGATTAGCCGGCTGAACGTGGCCACCGGGGAACATGTTGTCACGTTTCAGGTTCAGGTCGTGACTTTTGTGCATCTGTCAAGCGTCAGAGCTGCTCAAAACAAGTCAAATGTGTGAAAATCAGCTTCAGTAGATGCACCGGTAAAGATGTTTTTCTTTCCTCCTTTCAGTTGGACGCTGACCGAGACGAGGAGGAAGTCTTCTGTGACATCAGCATGACTCTGGACAACAAGATGTTTCCCTCCAAAGAGCCTGCAGCCGGTGAGATGAGCTTTTATTTTGAAAGACAGAAGGAAACAGTCAGACATTTAAAAAGATAATCACACCGTAGCCTCAGGGAGATTATCTTGGCCCGTATTTCAACTTAAAATGGATTTTAATTGGATAAATTACCTCAAATTACATTAAATGTGCCGGCACTTGATGACTCTTGTGTATTCAAGACTCATGTTGTGAGAAACAGCATAAGTTTGACTCACTGAGAACCACTGAACTTTTTTTCCATTCTATACTGTAAAAAGTACATTTGAGGTGCAGTTGAAGCAAACAAAAAAATCTCACTTATCGCTCGTGTTTGGTGAAAAAAGTTTTACTTTTGTGGCTTTTCAACTTGAAGTTACACTTTGTCCCTTTAAAATGGGATTCTGATTTCAGCAAAAGTAAGAAACTTAGGTTTCTGCTTTACCGTAGTGCGTCTACTTTTCTTCAAAGTTTCTTCTTGTGCCTTGTTCAGGTAAAATTACAGAGGAAAAAAAAACATTACGGTATGTGTGATGGCAAAATTATGTTTTAAGTTTGGATGAAGTGACAATTTAAGTTGGAAAAATTGGAAACTTCATTGCGAATGTCTGCATTGTCAAATATAACAAAATTGGACGGCTATCCTTTTACTACGGAAGCTGAGAGCGGTCATGGCCGCACATTTTTTTAAACGCCGTTTTCCTGAGATAACGAGATAATTAACCGTTGACAGGTTCAGCTGTCACTTCAGCCTTCATCAGAAGTTGTCGGACTTCCTGGTGTGACGTATCATATGTAGACAGCTGACCGGGAACTCCGACATGACGTGTCATGAGAACAGCTGACCGGGCACGACAACTTACAACGAAGCGCTCGTGCCCGGTCTCGTCTGTCCTCCGGCCCCCCGCTGGTGACTGAGGATGGAATCCCAGGTGTGTGGGAGGTCCCACACACCTGGGATTCCATCCTGGACCGGGCATGAGCGGGCAAACACAAACAGCAATTATCTTGTTTTCACGAGAAAACGATTCTTGTTATCTCGAGATAACGAGAAAATTAACTCGTTATCTCGAGAAAACGGCGAAGAAAGAACAGTAGCGGAAAACGACCGCTCTCGGTTTCCGTACTTTTACAGTGAAAAGAGCGTATCTAAAATACTGTAATAAGTGTAAAGAATGTATTTGCAGAGAATTAAATAAATAACATAATGCAAAATATATATTTAGAATGAAAAAAAAAGGTAGTAGCAATAATGTGTGCTGCATATCAGATACAAGATTGCACAAGATTCATATAAGTAGCTATTAAATTGACTTTCCTTAAAGTTAAGAGGAATCAAACGATTTAAGTACATCTAACTTAAACAAGTGGTGTTGATGTGATGTGTTAACCTGCTTAACTCAGTTGAGTGACTGAGACAATTCAGTTATGTTGGTCCAACAATTCATTTGTTTGTTTGTTTGTTTGTTTATCATCAAATGCAAAACAGCCAGCAATGCTGCAAACAGATGATTTCTTCGTCATGAGTCATGAAGGGAGAGCTCAGACAGTGTTGGTTAAAGGGTGACCTGCATTTATTCCACAGCAGGGACTTTACAATTACATTTTGCGGTCGAATCGCTCATTTAAAGGGTGACAATTATTTCTCTGCAGAGCAGCACATCATGTTTGTCTGTTGACTCTGGGGGTCTGAATAATGTCAGTGTTGATTGTTTATTCACAGCATCTGCCAACGATTATGGAAAAGTTATTTGCAATATGCACAAAAAGGTCACACATTTAAAATTAGTTGATTTGCTGTCATTTCTTATTTACAACCAACCTTCCTCTGGAGCCGCTGACGCATACAATTATTGAAAATACATACAATATTGTTTTTAAAAGTAAAACTAATATCTATTTTGAGTAAGCAGAAGGTTATAGGTCATAGCAGGAGCTTTTACACTTGTGCAAAAAAAAAAAACACTGATCTGTTTCTGCTGCTGCTTAAAGTCACTGTTAGAATGAAAGAAGTTCTGTTGCTTTACATGCATTTGAAGCCTGTCTGTTTCAAAGTATGGTTCATTTATTTTGTGAGATATACTTTAGAGATGCTGGGATGTATATTTTAAAGAGGGTCAGGTTAAAACAGATCACGTTTTCTGTAGCTGTACGTGAGTCTTCAGTCTGATGGGTTGATGAGGAAAATTAAATGCAGTCATGTCTTTACATTACGGTGAGGGCTGCAGCGGATCTCAAAACTCATGTTTTTTTAAATCAGAAATACAAAAAAGAGAGTCAGATACAGCTGTGACTGTCTCTCACATGCTTTTAACATGTTCATGTATCTTCTCACTGCTGCTCTGAATCGACATTCAGCTCATTACTCCTGAGTGGAGGAAGGTTTTTAGTATTAGTCAGAAACTAGCAGGCCTTGCAAATTCAGATGAGTGTTTCACTATTGCCAGGGAACAGAAGGAAAAAAAGGAATCAAAAGGCAACAAAACAACACCCCACACCCCAACCCTTGTTGTCTGGCTGTTACTGAGCTATTGACCATAGAAGGAAAAAAAAAAGAATATAATAAAATAGAAAATAGTTTTGTTTTTAGGTATATTTGAAATTGTTTTAAACAGTAGCATAACTGATGTGGCACTTCTGGATATTGACCATTGCGATAGATGTGCGAAGGTGCATAAGGTTGTAGTTAAGTTGCCTCTCTGTGGGTTTTTTCTTCTGACTTTTGGTTTATTGACAATTTTAGTATAAGAAACGACTTCATGGATGTTTACTGATATATATTTAGTAGCTATTTATTGATTTAAAAGATGTTTTCTCAGCTGTAAACTACACAGTTCTAATGTCATGAAACACATCCATGCTGGTGTTCATACTGACCTTTCTGTTATTTTCTAAAAATAGATATTTTGCACTTTTAAACTGGCCTCAACTCACCGTCTACTGGTTTAGATCATCCTGAATCTTACAAGGCAAACACTGACTTATAGTCAACCATTGTGGGCTTGTTTAAATCATGAAGTTTATATTTTAAAAAGCTGTGAAACTGCACTTACTTTCAAGTATCCTGATTGAAACTGATTAGTCACAGGAGTTTATGCTACTTTTTGTTAACCAGAGTTTGATAAATTAAGATAAATTAAGCTCGGATGAGTCTGTAATATTCTCCACATTGGGGGAATTTGCATTGTCACAACAGCAAAGGGAATAGTGCAAACATTTAATCAGGAGAAAAATAAACCAAAATATACACAAGTACTAGTTCTGATTGTTCAAATTCCTCTGGATAGAAAAAACAGTATTGCACATATCAATAGTATTGCATAGATTATTTTATAGTAGAAATACCAATGGAGGAGTATTAATACTACACAGTAGTCTGCAGCTTTTTCCAGGTAAAGAACATCCTGATGCTAATACTTGTGTGCTCTGAGTTGTGAGTGCTCCTGTGGTGGTGATACTAGATGCAAATTAAGGTTCACAGAAAAAGATTACAAGGCGAGACCATAACAAATGACAAAAGGAAAAAAACATTGTATTACCATGTCAGACTGTGTCCAGTTTTCCTGTACTGTTATATACTTACATATAATTCAGTAGAAGGGACTCTTTACAGAAACAGCATTTTAAGTTCTGATGAAATGTGCTGCAACAGATATCAGGCGCCGACATACCTACAGTCACACTAAAGAGCGTCCTCGGGCAGATTCACCTACCAGCTCATGTTTAGTGCAGAGAGGCTTCACCAAAATAATCCACATTCACAAGAAGAGAGAGAACAAGTGAAAACCAAAAACATCTCCCACCAGCTGCCTGGTTACTGCACAGGTTGGCATAGCAACCGGTGAAGCAGCAGAGTTAGCGACGCTTTGTGAGAAATTCACAATCGACAAGGTTAGAATCGGCCTGTGAGCACTCAGACGGGCGCCTGTTACGTAAAACCTGGTAATTTACTGTTTGCAGAACCGATGTGCTGCTTCACAAGATACGATCAGTCGACGCGTTCCGATTTCACAAGTGATAGAGATCATGACGGGCCGAGCTGAAGGAAAAAATGTCAACGTTGGCACTGAACTGAGCTGGTTTCATTATCATCCATCATAATATAGTGGAGGTGTAACTTGTGGATGCAACACATCCCTCGTCTTTAATGGAAGGTGTTTTAGTAAACTGATTATATAAAGCAAGAAACTGCTGATATAGACCTTACATTTAATTGATTTTGTAGTTTCCTCTTTGTATATGTTGGATTTATGTCTCTAATAAGCATATTTGACAGTTTAAAAACTAATTGTCAGATTTTTTTTAGCTATGAACACATGACATTTTCCAAAGATTTCTACATTTTCCTGTCTAATGCACCACAAGAAAAGAAGAGTAATACCCCTCTCATATAGTTATGGGGCAAAAAAAATGTTGTTGGGTTCCTATTAATCTCCACTTTAACTGGTACCAGCTTTTAAAATATAAACACTGAATTAGCCAGTTTCCTCATTTTTCTGCAATGGTGAGCTCCACATATTTTGGTTTTTCATTAATAGACAGATAAGAAAGACATTAAAATATCTTAAATTGGGCTTCAGGGCATAATGGTGGGCCTGTTTTAGTATATTCTGATATTTTTAGCACTGATTAATCAATGATTTATTCAGGAAAGTAATTGTTGGATGTGTTAGAATGAATTGGTTGTAGCCTCATAGTTCCAAAAATCTACCTCGCTCCAGGTTTTCTTTGTTAATTATTTGACATATAGATACAAAAAAAAACTTATTAAGGCATTATAAGAAATGAGCTCAGTGTGCTAAAACCAGATTTTGACTAAATGGAAGGTGGAGTATCTGTTGTATCGGATGAGCAATTAAGTGGTGCAAAATTCCAACAAATTTGCAATTAATGATTCAAATAATATCGGATCAACCCGGGGCTTTGGACAGCAGTGATTCAGTCCTGCCCACAGTCAGGAGCTGGTTTTTATTTCATCAATTGCTTCCGAGGAGACATGAGAAAGTGTGAAGAAGTCAAAACTCCACAAACACTTTGAACATAATGACCAACTTCAATATGAAAGCAATTATTGACAGTTATCTTAGTAAACTGAAAACAGTGAAACAAGCAGCCTGGTTCTGCTCAGTGGCTCCAAAAGTTCACATATCAGCAGCCCTAAAGCTCAGTGATTAACACATAATATGTTGTTCATTCAAGAGGCTTGAAATTTAAATCAGGCAGCAGTCAGACAATTTACGGCTAAAAAACTAAACTTTTCAGTTCTCTCTGGTGAACAAACTACATGATCAAGCTTTTTATTACTAATTAGAAGATATATACACACAGAAACCTGCTGGACTATCTTTAAACTTTTGACAAGTTTTGCTTGTTTTGTAAAATCACAGATGATAAACAGTTAAATCACTGAACAAAGTATTTACTGTGTTGACTGTTTAAAAAAAAAATAGACCAAAACTGTAAATAATGTCCACATCAAAAATCAGAATTTTCATGAATAGTAATCAGATTTATTTTTTTTTAGAAGATGTGTGCATAAAATTACACTATTTTACTGTATTTAAATCAGCTAAAAACAACAACAAAACTTAATTACTTTATGGATATTTGCTAATGTTTTCATAGTTTTTGAGTTTTACAGTATTGAACCATTGTGTTGCATGTTTTTTTTTTCTGGCACTTCTTCTGCTTCACGCTCTCGTCCAGCACGCTTACATAACTGCTTTTGGCTGTCGCGCCTTTATTAGGATGGTTGATGAAAGCACAATAGCTGAAACCATTTGGTGAAAGAAGCACAGTGTGCAATAAAGAAAAGTTTCTCCAGACGGAGGGTTTCATATGCTGGATGAATTCTAAAGCCCGCTGAGAACATCTTGTAACTGCAGGCTTTATAAATAAACTTGTCTTGAAAATCTGCTTGTTTAATGTTTCTGATTCATCATGTCATGGCGCACGGCTCGGGCTCAGCTGCAGCCCCGCAGGAAGTTGTGGAACAATTGGAGGAAGAGATTATATAAGCGCTGGCTATTAGAGATGACCAATCACACCGACAGCGTTTCTTCATTTTAAGAGCAGAGCAATTGATGGCAAACTGCTTTTGTAATTGTGGGGCAGATTTGCAATTTGAGGCTCATGTGAGGAGCTGTACAATCAGCATGAAGGGGACATATGGAGCCTCATAACAGTTGACGTCGCATTATTCTGAGCTGCTGCCCAGTGCAGCTCTGTTCTATTACAGTATCTGACAAGTTGAAGAGCTTTCTGAGGAACTTCAATAAGTGCATGCAGCATTTTCCTGCTTTGAGGGCTTTACATTAAAGTCAAAGTGATTGACAAACCAGCCATATGTCTGCCTCTCTCCACATTAAGTGGTAAAAGGCTGAGCACATAATGCGACTGGGCCTCGAATTCCCAGCAATCCTTGACACCAAAATTGTCTCGTGCTGCTCGACAGCTACCTGAAACACTTGAGAGCCGTCTGCTTCATGGCATGACTTCAAAATAGCAAACAGACAAAGGGAGGAAAAAAAACTGAGTACTTTTACTGGTTGGGCTGCATAAATTGTGAAAAGTAGAGCCTCATAATGCAGGAAGATCTCAGCATATTGTTTTTAGGGAAGAAAAACCCTAATGGAGGGTTATAACTGAATGCAAGAAGCTTTTTAAGACTCCACTTGTACAGTATGTGACGCTGATGTAGACGCATTTAAAAGCAGCGTGGCATCTCTACATTTGTCAAGATGTTCTTTTACATACGTGTCAAAAATAGAGGCTTGTATTTCCTGTATCAGCCGGGAACAAAGAGAAAAACATCCTGAGTGGAGTGCAATTTAAAAGTACATTTTTTTTGCATCGTGAAACAGCTGAAATCTGGACCACGTGTGTGCAATCTCCAGCTTCAACGTTATATTGTTGTATGGACCAGGTGATGCATGAATCTGCTGTGAGGGGGAAAGCTGCGGGAAACATAAAGATCAAGCGAAACCTAAAAATAGATTGGCATTAGTTAAGGTCGCCTCTTTTCAGAGAAACTGCTTCCCCGTCCATCTTGCTGCAGGATAGAAGGAACTGCTGCCTCCCTGACCGCTGCAGCTGCATGAATCCTGAGCTGAAGTGCTGCTGACAAGCGCAGCCTCCACCACCTGATATCACTGGTCTCAACACGGCAAAACAAAAAAAAAAAACCTCCTCCACCCTGTCATAACTCAGCTTTGCAGGGACAAAATGCGCTCCGACACTTTGCTGACTCCTGACTTGCAAACTGCTGAGAGCACACAGGACAGTCTGTTTCATTTCCTGCTGCAGTCTGAAGCTTGTTACCATAATGCATCTAAGAATATGTGCGTCTCTCGGAGGAAACTGCCTGAATGTTTGAAGCTGAATCTAACCCAGTTCTGTAATCAGGAGGCGCTGGCGTGCTGGAAGAAAAAAAAAAAATTTGCCGAGGGGAAGTGTTATTCACGACCCATTTCCACGGAGGATGAAGATGTGTTAGAGTTTATCACAGCATCACCTTCAGCAGCTTTCTGACACCAAGAAGTTCAGGTTCAGGTGTTTGTTGGGGCCAAAAATGAACTTTGATGTGTTCTGAGGTTCATCTCTTTGTGTTGCTCCGATTGATCACCAAAGCGCAAATGTGTGGTTTCATGCCTGCAGCTGGGAAATTAATGTGACATATGTAACATGTGTGCAGGCTTTTATACAGCAGATGCATCTGCTGGCTGTGGCAGCTGACAGGACCGTAATAGCAGTTTTACAATCCACAGAAGAAAGAAAGCCGCGATGCACAATGATATTGGCATCGTTATTGGTAATGAAATATTGGCTGAAAATGAGCATCGGCAGCTGGATGAGAAGGAAACGTGTGAGTCACACTTAGGTTGAAGTGGTTTTCTTATTATCATTTTTATTTCTGCATCTGCCAGTGGACCATCACAATAATAGCAGGAATAATAATATGTTAATTCCACTACAGGAGGGATGTTCTCTGCAGTTAGATTGGGAGGAGGGGGGGGGTGCATATATCAGTGTCTGTAGTGGCAATTAGACAAAATGAGTTGGAGAATATCTGCATAAAAATCCAATAATGTGCATCTCTAGAACAAAGTCTGTGTTAACTACTTTTAGATACCAAAGAAAAATACAAAAAAGTTCTGTTTTCCACTTCTCAAATGTAGTAAATGTTGCTGAGACTTATATGAGATTATATCATGTCTATGCACTAACGATGGAACTAAAAACTGGAGGCAATTAGCTTAGCTTAGCATAAATACTGCAAGCATAGGGAATTTATATTGATTTAAATAAAAACATAGTATGCATCAAAGAAGAATGCTTTCTGTTTTTCACTTCTCAAAAGTACTTAATGTTGCTGAGAGTAAGATCAGAAGGTAAATACTCTCCTCATTCCTTAACTATTAAAGTAAAATCAAACAGCTTAGCTTAGCACTAACACTGAAACCAGGAAGAATTTATACATCAGATCTATTTTCTGTCCATTAATGTGAGAGCATAGTACACAAAAACATGCAAGATTAGTGGTTTTACAGGCAGTTTATGGCTTTCTATGGAGACTAATCATGTCTAGTAGGAAACCTACTAAGTGCACAATATCAAGCTATTTTTGAACTTCTATGGTTTTGTCTGTCTGCAGGTCCCAGCGAGTTGGATCTCAGTCTAGTGGGTGAAGCAAGCAGCCCGGCAGATGTTCCCTGCAAGTACGACGAGGTAAGATTGTGTTTTATTTTTCTCCTACTGCATGTTGAGGGTTTAACATCGAGCTCTATTTTTGAATTAATATTATATACACTGTTAAAACTAAGGGTTTATTTATTTAGCTCTTCCTAAAGTTTTTGGATTCCATTTGTTGAGGAAACCTGTAAAATATGAGCAAAAGCTTCAGGAAAAGCTTAGAAAATGTAGCAATCTGATGGGTTGTGGTGAACCTTTACATGACTGAAAGCTTTCTGTTTGCATGTCGGGCAAAAGAACGGACCTATTTACACAGTTCAACTCATGCACTGTGCAGATTTTAATGTAAAAATTCTAAAACCATAATAAGACAAGTCAGTTTTAATTCCAACATCTGTTATAAATCATAAATGCCGTCCTTTTACCTCTGTAGTCTTCATAACAACCTCGTATATAATCAGCTGCATCCGCTCACTTCCCTGTTTTATCCCTTTACCTAAAACACAATCTTGATCCAACACCAAACACCCCTCCATCGTTTCCACACCCTCGTCTCTCTCTCTTGCTCTCCACCTTTTCCCTGCAAAACACAACATAAATGACGACTGCAAATTACCTTCTTCAAAAAAACGGCAGTGAACTCATCATTTCAGAGGCCGGATGATTCAGCGCCGCAAATGTCCTGAGATGGCGAATATTGTTGTGTAATGCTTGGCGGCGGCGGCGGCTCAGACTTGAGCCTCATTCCTGCACGCAGTCCTGTGCTGAGCTCAGAAAAGCACAACTCTGACCTCCGTCTCATTTGCCAGCCTCCAAACACATTGCCTACCTCCTTCATTCTCCAGCTTCCTTTTACTTCATTTCTCTAACTCGAGGGGTTGTTGGGGGGCTGTTTGTGGTTGCTTAAGTCTTCCAACCAGGCAGGCTTTTCAGAATACATACACTCTCTCAGCAGCGCTCCTCTTCACATTTATTCACTCTGTTGAATTCACACTTGGACACTGCTGGTGATAACCGAGTCTGTTTATTGTCGGCTGCTCAGCGGTGGAGAAGTATTTTTTTTTTTATCAGCAGTAATTTACTCCTGGCTGTATTTTTCTCTCCCACTCTCCTTCTGTGTAATAATACTGTATCCATGGACTTCTCTTTATCGGTTTTTAATTACACCTTTCATGTTTTTCCTCGGCAGCATCGGTGGAGTTTATTTAACGGTTGGTGAGGGTTAGAGCTTCGAATCCCCGGTGGCGCTCTATTAGAGAAACACTTTGAGAGAACGGCTAAATCTGTCACCACATTGTCTTTCACGGGAGAGCTCTCATGTCCAGAGCAGTTTCATGTTTTCCAAGTCAAAAAACTCAACTTAAAATAAGGTTTTTACTTCAGAATTCAATCTTGCCTGTCTTTTTCTTTTGTTGTTATTATTGTTATTATTATTGTTGTTGTTGTTGTTGTTGTTGCTATTGTTGTTGAATATTTGCTGTTGTTGCTGATTTTGTGTTGGTGTTGTGTTGTTTTTTCTGGTGCAACAGTTTCCCTGAGGTTTTATACCGAAGGGATCAATAAAGTTTTATTCTAATTCTAATTCTAATTCTAATTCTAATTTAAATAAGATGCTTGTTTCTACCTCCATGCACTGAAATACAGTCCAGCAAAGCCAAAACGCACAAAACTAACATTTTTTTTTGCTGTATTCCTTTGAACAATTTACTGTTATTTACGGAGTTTCTTTGTTTTGTAAAGTTACAGATGATAAATGGTAAAATCACAGAAATTAGTTGTTCATTTACATGTCATGATTAAAAAACTAAAAAATGTCCAAATCAAAAATCTGTATTTTTAGAAATGATGTTTATTCTTTTGTAATGTGTGACCATAAAATTACACTAATTCTGCTGTATTTAAATCTAAAGTAAACAATTAAATCTAAAACTCTATATCTATAGACTCAAGTATTTTATAAATATTTGCTGTTGTTTGAGAGAAAAAATGTGTAAATTTAGGACTGATGTGTTTCAACCGTTATTTTACAGTTTTTCCTTGTTTTCTTGAATTAAAGGTAATAATTAAAAAAAACAAAACAAACATTAGTTTATCTGGTAACAGTAAAAAATATTCACACCATGTCCACATCAAGAATCAGTATTTTACAGTATAATAGTTCATACTTTTACAATGGGTGACCATAAATTTACTGAAGGTTTAATTAAAAGTATTATTGTATTTAAATCCACTAAAAAATGTTTACAGATATTATACATAATTTTCACATTATTATTATTATTATTATTATTATTTTACTGATCACTTGTACACTCAGTCATTGGCACGTCCTCATTTTTAAAGGTCTGCTTCCTTCATATCTACGATCTATATCTGGCGAAAATGTACGGAACGCTTTTTTGTCTTTACCTTAATGAGCCTCTTCCTGGTTAGATAAAGGATAACTGGATGGACTTTATCTGCATTAATGTGATGCATTGCGGCTCAAAAATGTTGACAGGTGCTTCCTGTTTTTTCTTTAATAACCTTGAGTTGTGTCTAGAACTTGATCGGAATCCATTTATGGCCTGTCGAGGCAAAAACTGACCTCTTTGGGAAGAACTCCAAGTCCTGTGTCTGGCGAATACAGGACACTTCTCATAATGTGCCAGCTCCAGAAAGGGGAATTAACAGAAAACAACCAGATGGACGAGGTTGAGCCGAAGTTAAATGCATTTTAATGGGAGAAATTTCAAAACAAATGAAAGTAGCACAGCTCCACAAGCAGAGGGAAGTGGATGCTACTCAAAACACTGGAACCAGCAAAACAAAAGGAGAACTTTTAAGACAGAAGCAGTTTCGATGTACCTGATCTGTTTTGCAGTTTTGGGAGAAAGAGCAAAATAAAACCCTGCGCTACTTACTGACACTGTCGACCTAAACAAGATTACAGCAGGGAGTAGCACCTCTAAATCTACTGTTTCTAGACACAAATTGCATTTTGTGGGGTGTGGAGTATGAGGGGATTTTGGTGTGAGGCGATCTACTACCTGGAACCGTCTCCAGGGATAAAAGAGTGCCTCAGTCTATAAACAACAATGGAGTTAATTATACAACTGCTAGGAAACACTAAATGACAGACAGAAAACAGGCGTCTTAAGTATTAAACTACAAGTTGATACGAACAAATACCATGGATGAGGGGAGCTGCTCCCACTAAATAAACCTACAGACTTTTGAAGTCGGTGCAGTGGTGATATATGCAGCTTGATTGGAAGCACAGGAGTCGGCACCGGTCCAGTCAGACACGGTGGAACAATGGAACAGCCAGCAGAACAGGAAACAAGTGCAGGCGCTAATCCTGCTGAGCGACTGGGAAAAGCTGATTTGCATACAGGAGCAGGTAGAGTTCATTAAACCAAGAGGAAGCCAGACAGCTGTCTGATGACGAAGCATGGTGGCGGCAGTATCATCACGGAGGTGTTTCTCCGCAGCAGGAAGCCTGGTCAGGACTGAATAAAGGATGACTGCCATTAAATACAGGAAGAAAACATGATAGTTTACCTTCCAGTAACACCAGTGGCCCAAAGCAAACAGCCAGAGCCAAGACTCGATTTGCACTGAACATCTGTGGAGAAAGCCTGAAGACTGCAGCCCACAGTGATTCCAATCCAATCAGACGAAGCTTGGCAGGATCAGTCGGGAGGACTGAGATAAACGGACCAAATCCAGGTGCACAAAGCTTGTTAGATGTACACAAGAAGATTTTAAATGTTGCCAAAAACACTTCCACAAATTACTGTAGATTCTGAATACTTTGGAAAATAAGAGGTTCTGTTTTTTATTTTTATATTTGCCACAATACCTAAAAAGATGTTTTCACTTTGTCAGTGTGGGTTACTGCACTCAGTTTCAACTAATGATTTTTTCCATTGTGTATAAATGTTGGGCTGCAGGCAAATCTTATCGGTTTGAAAATAAACCTTAAACACAACACACTTTGCAAAAGGTGCTGTAAATTGTAGCCTGTGCATGTTGTTTGAGAAGACCTG